GTGTGTGCATACAAGGGGGCGCGTCACCGCGCGCGCGAGAGAGAGAGAGAGAGTGAGAGAGAGAACTGAAATGGTATTCACCAATTCGCAGTAGCTGATGCAGATCCCAGGGCTCGATCCCTAGTCCCCACCTTACCTGTGCACAGTATTTGCGTCGACCCTTAGAGTTGAACCCGTGACCTGTGTATTTGTAACAGTAGTCTCAGTCAGGTCTAGAAGTCGTAGCTATAGCCTTCTCAAAGGGTCAAGGTCGTAGCTGCTACAGTCCAGAAAGGTCAAGGTCGTAGCTGCTACAGTAGCGAAAGGCCAAGTCTACAGCCTTCCGGAAGGTCCGAGTAGTGGCCTTTCCAAGTTGCCCACGTTTAGGCTAAGGCAAGTGGGCAAGCGGTGGAAGTCTACCCGTGTTGAGTCAACAGTCCCAGTCCCCAGTCAGTCCTGGTCCAGTCAAGCAAGTACCGCATGGGACTGTGTGCACTTCGGGCATGGGAAAGGGCCAGACCAACGAGCTGCAGAAGTATAAATCAAGAGGCAGCGCCCAATCATTCATTCATTCCTGCGTGAGCCATGCGGAAGCGATGCCATAAGCGACTTGTGCAAGGAGGTCTGCAGTGAGCCCGAGGACGAAGTGGGCAAGAGAGAAGGAGTGTAGCCATAGCGATAGGGTAGTAGCGGCCATAACCGCCATAGCTGTAGCTAGCGTGCAGTGTAAGTGTATGTGTGTGTACTGAGTATCGCGTGTGGGACATCCATGGTGATCCTGTGTATGCGAACAGTGAGTTGTGTGGCAGAGGAATTGAAGGAGAGGATGCCTGCCTGGGCCAAAATGAAGAAAGATTGTAAAGGGCAGCTAGTGCTAGTTGACGTAGAGGTGTTTAGAAGTAGAGTAGGGGCCCTTATAGACTCAGGGGCCACCCGCAGTTATGTTAGTCGTAAAGCGCTGAAAAAGTTGAGGCTAGGATTGAAAGTCCAGAAGTTGGAAGACCCCATAGTTAGTGTCTTCGCAGACAACCGCACGATGCGAGTTGAGGACTACGTAGAGGGAGTCCAGGCGTATTTCCGCCTAGAGAAACATGGGAAGGTGGAGAGAGTTCTCCATTCCCCGACTCTCCTCGTATAGGATGACCTTCCGTTTGACATAGTCCTAGGCATGGACTGGGGCCACACGCCATTTGAGAGAGCATGAGTGTAGGCTCCTTAGCCCGTCAGGCGAGGTTAAGACGGGCCCGTCTGTTCCATGTGTCAGGAGTGGATAACTCGCTGGCACATTGTTGTCTCAGTGCTCCAGCGTTCGTGCGATTGGTGAGAAAGGAGCAGTTAGAAGACCAGGTTTTAGTGGTGTATGTTAGACCTGTCACGGAGGCTAAGGAAAAGATTAGTTCCACAGATCCATTCATTGTGAAGTTGCTGGAAGAGTTCAAGGACTTAACTAAGCCGCCAACAGGAGTAGTGTCGTGGCGGATCCAGCACAGGATAGAAATAGAGCATGGCAGTAAAACTCCTAAGGGTGCGGTCTACATGATGTCCCCTAGAGAGTTAGAGGAGTTGCGCAAGCAACTAGATGAGCTCCTTGAGAAGGGTTGGATTAGGCCCAGTTCATCTCCTTTTGGAGCACCAGTTTTATTTGTCCCCAATAAGGAAGGAGAGTTGCGCAGGTGTAACTATAGGGGTCTGAATGCTATCACAATCAAGAATGCTGAACCATTGCCCAGGATAGACGATCTCTTAGATCGGGTGCAGGGTTGCAAGTATTTCTCCAAGATAGGTTTGAAGTCCGGATACCATCAGATAGAAGTCCATACTGATGACCAGTACAAGACTGCGTTCCGGACTCGTTATGGGCATTATGAGTTCATAGTGATGCCCTTTGGACTGACCAATGCGCCAGGTACGTTTCAGTGTTGTATGAACGATCTGTTTAGGCCTTGGTTGGATAGGTTCGTCGTAGTTTACTTAGACGACATCCTAGTATTCAGTAGCACCGTCCAGGAACATCAGGCTCATTTGAGGCAGGTCTTGGAGAAGCTGAGAAAAGCTAAATCAAGATCAATGCGAAGAAGTGTGAGTGGGCCAAGACACAAGTCCTGTACTTGGGCCACGCATTAGACGGAGATGGCATTAAGCCAGAGGACAGCAAGATGCGACAATTAGAGACTGGCCGACGCCCCGCACGTTGACAGAGTTGCGGTCGTTCCTAGGCCTAGCTAATTATTACAAGAAGTTCGTGAGGAACTTCTCGACTATCGCCGCTCCCCTTCGCAGGTTGCTTAAGAAAGAGGCAATCTGGCAATGGGACAAAGATTGTACGTCAGCGCTGAAGAAGTTAAAGCGCATATTGATAGAGTACCCTGCCCTCAAGGTGGCCGATCCATCCTTGCCATTTGTCGTCACCACGGACGCGAGTCGGTATGGTATAGGCGCCGTGTTACAGCAAGATGACGACAATGGCTATAGACCCGTAGAGTTCATGTCAGCGAGGATGCCCTTAGAGAAGGTTGCTACCTCGACGTACGAGAGAGAACTCTACGCTCTCAGGCAGGCTTTAGAGCACAGGACGTATTACCTGCTTGGGAGGCACTTCAAAGTGTACTCCAACCACGCGACTCTTAGATGGTTGAAGACACAGGCCATGATGACACCTAAGTTGACTAGGTGGGCCGCTGAGATAGACCAATATGACTTCGAGCTCAAGCCAGTTAAGGGCAAGTACAATGTAGTTGCGGATGCTCTGAGTAGAAGGTCAGACTACTTTGGAGCCATAGTTCACTATCTGGACATAGGGAGTGACCTGCAGGAGAAAGTTAGACAGGCTTATGTGCAGGACCCTATTTACAGTGACCTCCTCAAGAAAGTCAAGGACGCCCCAGAGACTGAGCCAGATTACCGCACTACAGAGGGGTTATTATTTGAGAAGACTAATGTAGTAGACCGCCTATGCGTTCCCAACAGTGAGGAGATCCGCAGTCTGATCCTAGGGGAATGCCATGATACAGAGGGACACTTCGGTTGGCAAAAGACTTTGGCCAACCTCATGCACACGTATACATGGCCAGGAATGAAAAACGATTGTATAGCGTATGTCCACAGTTGTAAAGTCTGTCAAAGGAACAAGACTACTACAAGTGCCCCTCTAGGTCTTCTCAGACCCTTGCCTATTCCAGACCAGCCTGGAGACTCAGTCTCCATTGACTTCATGGACGCCGGTGTCAAGAGTAGGCACGACAAGAGCCAAGTCATGGTTGTAGTCGATAGGTTTAGCAAGTATGCTATTTTTGTTCCTGCAGAGGCACGTACCGAATTAGTCATTCAGAAGTTTTTTGATTTTTGGGTTAGTGAGCATGGCATCCCATTATCAATTGTTAGCGATAGAGATACCCGTTTTACTAGCCAGAATTGGCAGGAACTGATGAGAGTCTACGGATCGAAGTTGTTGATGTCATCTGGCCGCCATCCAGAGACTAACGAGGTCAGACAGAACAGATGAACAAGATCCTGCAGCAAGTTTTGCGTATGTGCATTAGACCCGATCAGATTAACTGGGACGAGATGTTACCCCAGGTAGCCAGTGCATACAATAACAACGTGCATTTGTCCACCTGTCGCACTCCCAACGAGTTGCACAAGTCTTTTAGACCGCGTAGACCGTTTGAAGGACTTAACCGGGATCAGATCCATAGGCTACCTCCCGGTACCAGGGAGTTCGCGATACGACACGAAAAAGAGAGCCACTGTTGTTGAGAACCTCAGGAAGGCCAAGCACTGGATGATAGAACAGGCTAATAAGCACCGTCGCCCATCGCAGTGTCAGGTAGGTGACCTGGTCTGGGTCAAGTCTAAAGAGTTGCGCCTGAGGAGAACATCTCGCAAAAGTTACTGCCCGCTTATAGAGGACCGTGGCCAGTCCTAGAAGTCAAGGGCGGAGAGGATGGGCCGTCCTACACTATAGAGATCCCAGCACACCTCCACACCTACCCTGTGTTTCACGCATCAAAGTTGTTGTCGTGTGTCACAAGTCAACAGTTTCCATCAAGACTGTCCATGTGCAAGGAAGAGGAGCAATAGCGAACTTCAGCAATCAAACAACATCATACACATAAGACCAGATAGTCGTGACCTCGAACCAACAGCAGAATTGCATCACGAGTTTCACCAAATAAGAACACACCAAGCGCTCATAATTGATAATGCTGAAATAGTCCCATCATCATCATCAACGAAGAACCAATGTTGATATCCTATTTGGTGCTCGACGCCCAGACTACAGATGGCAGATCATATCTAGCCTAGACTACAATGCCGAAGATGACGTCAATAGCTTTCCCGAAGTACGAGCATACAGCGACCAATGTCGCACGCTTCCAGCACCAGGTATGTCTCTCGCCTCACTCACAACCTCGTTCCCCAACACAGAGATGCCTCTTGCACCCAAGGACCACCCTGCACCACACCCAGCTTACAGCAGCGCAGCTCGGCTATGGCTGCCTGCTCCTTCCTGCTCGCCCGTGAGCGCGTGAGTGCCAGCGAGCTTCAGCGTAGCAGCGCTTGCGCAGCATGCAGCCAGCACCCGAATGAGCAATGTGGAGGCAGGCCCTTTGCTATATTGAAGTGGCCTGCCTGCGTTCAGTCCCAGGAAGCTTCTAGTAGGCCCGGTAGCCTGAGGCCCAACACGATAGAGAATAGGCCTTGGGCCTGAGGTGGTTGCATGCACCCAACTGCCTTTGACCTGTGTTTGGCCTAGTACCCGTATCCAGCCCAGGGCCTGGGTTCTCTCAACCAACTGGCGCTGTGCAACTGCCTGAATTTCCTTAGTTGCGCAGTGGTCAAAATAAGGTCCCGAGGGCCTTGTCGAGCCTGCCTTCACTGAGGGCGGTCGACTTGCTCTAAAAAGGGGCCGAATGGGGCTCATAGAGGCAGTGGCCTCGCATTCCCTCCTCCTTAGCTTCAATTGTCCTTTGAGAAGCTCAGTCTTCGACCATCGGGCGCTTTCCTTTTTGCAGAGATTTCTCGTAATGAGCTACAACTTGAGGAGAGGTCTGCATAAGTTCCTCCCTGGTGAACCAGTGGTCCTCCTTAGGATCAGTGTGATGTCGGAATCGAAAGCGGTACTGCAGCTTCGGTTTCGGAGGACGTCCCCTACCTGTTGGTCTTGGAACTGGCAGCTCTCTGTGGTCCACGATATCATCGATATCCACCTCTCCATCCATGGTTGGGGACAGCATTGAGCGACGAGATGGAAACTGATCTGTTTCTTTGAAAGGTGCAAGCTTGGAGGCGTGAAAGACAGGGTAAGTACGGAGATGACGAGGGATCCGGATTACATAAGATGGCCCATCTGGATCAGTCCCAACAATATCTAAGACTTCCCATGGCCCAAAGTACTGTGGCATGAGTTTGGGGGGAATCCCGTACTGCTGTCCCAGTTCTGAGGACTTTACCCAAACTCTATCTCCAACCTGAAACGTAGAAGGTCAGTGGTGTCTATTCTCAGACTCTATCATTGCTGCCTATGCCTTCTGCATCTGTTCTACCGCCTGCGGCATTTTATGTTCATACCTGTAGGCAAACTCTAAAGTACCTGGTGCAGCAGTTGACTGATTCTCAGGAAGGAGAAAGTCTAAGGGTAATCTAGGCTTGAAAGTCAGCAAACTGTTTGGGCTCACCCAGGTGGCGTTGTGGATAGTGTTGTTGTACAGACTGGCGATGAGAGCAAGCTTCTCATCCCAGTCCACCTGGTTGGGCTTGATGTAATGCCTCAACAGGTGTTGTACAACGCGATTCAGTTGCTCGGCCTGACCGTTGGCCTCTAGGTGATTCCCAAAAGTCATCTCGGCCTTCCACACGCTAGTGAAGCGGATATCTCTGTCACTCACTATGGATTTGGGCAATCCAAAATCCCTGACCCGGTTCTCTTTGAACAATCTGATTACCTACTCGGTCTTCGCGGTCTCGGACATGGCTATTTATCTAGCATACTTACTAAATCTATCCACAATGACGAAAATGTGTCTCATCCCACTCTTGCTGGTAACCAGCGTATGACAAGTCTCCACGTACAGTTGGGCATCTCTCATCATTGTGGGCCCCCGGAACCGCTGCAGCAGGTTAGCTGCGGTCTTTTTGTACCCAAAATGGCCGGCGGCATCATGACACTCCCCTAAAAAAAACTACGCAAAGACTCTCTATTTGGCACACACAAACATTTATTCCCGGCCTTCTCAAGGAACAGCAAGCCGTTGATCAATTCAAACTCGGCTGAAGTCTTTTTATCCTTCGCCTCAAGTCTGCGTATGACCTCAGACATAAACTGGTCCTCGCGATAGGCCTCCACCAAAGAGCGAGTAACATCGTCCGTCAGATCGAACTCAGTAATCAGCGCACCTGAGAAATCAGGTCTACGCGACAAGGCATCCGCAACCTTGTTGTACTCCCCTTTCAGATACTAAGGGTCAAAGTCATACTGCTCAATGACTTTGATCTAACGCTTCAAAGCGTCAAAAAGCACCGGCTGAGTTCTCATCCATCTCAGATTCTGATGATCAGTTCTGAGGATGAAGAACCTCCCAAGGAGATAGTGCCTCCAATGGGTCAGAGCCTTGTACACCGCATAGAGTTCCTTCCCATAGGTGGACTTTGCCGACTTCTGAGACGGCATCTTTTTGGACATGTACTCGATAGGCCTCAACTTTGCCCCCTTCTGCTGTGCAAGCATGGCGCCAGTGCCATATTGGCTGGCATCCGTGGTGACTTCAAACGGCTTGTCAGCATCGGGAAGTTTCAAGATCTCGTAGTGCGTCAACGCATGCTTTAGATGTCTGAAAGCAACCTCACACTCATCTGTCCACTCCCATGGGGTGTCTAGGCGAGTCAGGTCAGTCAAAGGAGCGACCACTATGCTATAGTTCTTAACGAAAGTCCTATAGTAGCCTGTCATCCCTAAGAAAGATCTCATCTCAATCACAAACTGAGGACGTCGCCAATCACGAATGTTGGCCACCTTCGCGTCATTGGGCTTCAACCCTTTCGCGGAGATATCACGACCCAAGTACAAGACACGGGTGCGGCCAAACTTGCACTTCTCACCGTTGATCTTGAACTTGTGTTGTCGTAGGAGACTGAGGACTTTGTCCAGGTGTGCAACGTGCTCCTCGACAGTCTTACTAAAAATAAGTATGTCATCGAGGTACACGATGACAAACTTATCCAAGTAGTCATGAAATATCCGATTCATAGCGTGCTGAAAGGTGCCAGGAGCATTGCAAAGGCCAAAAGGCATCACTAAAACTCGTACAGACCGTACCTGGTTTGAAATGCGGTTTTGTGTTGATCCTAGGGCCGGATTGCAATCTGATGGTACCCAGACTTCAGATCTATCTTACTGAAGTACCGACACCCTTGCCCTCTATCTAGCAAATCGTCGATGCGCGGTAGGGGCTCTCTGTTCTTAGCAGTGATGGCATTGAGGCCCCTATAGTCCATGCACATCCTAAGTGTTCCATCCTTCTTCTTAGGTACGAATAGTACTGGAGACCCATAAGGAGAGACACTCGGTCGGATCCAATTATTCTCTACGAGTTCCTTGAGTTGTCGGCGAAGCTCATCGAGCTCGCCTGGAGACATCCGATAGATCCTACCCTTTGGGATACTAGACCCTGGGATAATTTATATCGCGTGGACGACCTCCCTCTCAACAACCCCTGTGGGCTCTTCAAATAGATCAGGGTACTTTGCAACTACTCCCT